CTACACATATATTGGATGGCATCCTGATCTCCTGTAGGCCATAGTTCTTACATTAATTCAGAAACAAGAAAGAAAAAAAAAACATACCAGCACAAGCACCTAAAGAGGCCATAGATTTGCAGGAAAATCCCTAAAGCTTCTTTAGATAGAAAATTGCTAAATTTCATCTTCCATTTTAGGTAAACAAAAACAAGGAATTTAAATTTAAGACATTTAAATCTCTACAAGCAAGAAAATCTATAACAACAAACTCTTATAATTTATCAATTTCTTTTGGGATATAAATATACTAGATGTAAAACTTCAAAGATTGGGTGAGTTTATACCTAGCCAATCACTTCCCTTGACAGTATCATACATGTGCCACCTCCAGTCATCTTCCGTCATATTTCCCAAAGCAGCATTTATACCACCCTATACAGAATTTCATTCCATGAATTAGTGTTCCCAGCATATTCAAGACGGAGCAGTGGAATGCTTGACATGATAGTGTCAACTTAATATACTTGGGTGAATCATCCAATACTTTTTACATCATAACCAACAGTAACAAGCAGAAAAGAAGAAGATACTATGGGATAATCTCAAAATGATTTTTTAAAAGCACAGTTGACAGAGGGCTGATTAAATCACCGTTCATTGTGATACACAATATATTATTTTGCCAATTCCAAAGTGTAATGTATCCAAAATAATAACAAAGCGCCAAACAAGAATGAATCACGAAGAGAAGCAGCGATGGTGTCAAAGTCAAAGCGACCCAAAACTGCAGTTAGGGGTTAAATACATAAAAAAAACAACATACTATGAGTTGCATAAAATTTATATCACAACTGAAAGAGGCTACTGTCGCTTTCATCTAGTTGAACTCATCATCCAACGGCCCACATGCAGTCAATCACAAATTCTTTTTCTTGATCTAAAATTACACTTGAATGGAACAGCTTTTACACATGGATACTGCTTACACCAAATACAACAACCAAAAGACCGCAATCCTCGACTGATCACTCAAAAACTGCCCTCGAGCTCGACAGGCTTCCCTCCCGAGTAACCTCCTCGGCTAAGGATGTACCTAGGCCGAGCATTACGCACATACGCATGCCAAGCAATCCTCGGTCGATCACTCAAAAAGTGCGCTCGAGCCCGACAGGTTTCCCTCCCGAGTACCCTCCTCGGCTAAGGATGTACCTAGGCCAAGCATTACGCCAATATGCCGATGCCGAGCAATACTCGACCGATCACTCAAAAAGTGCGCTCGAGCCTGACAGGTTTCCCTCCCGAGTACCCTCCTCGGCTAAGGATGTACCTAGGCCGAGCACTACGCACGAACATGCGCCGACGCCGAGCAATCCTCGGCCGATCACTCAAAATGTACATTCGAGCCCGACAGATTTCCTTCCTGAGTACCCTCCTCGGCTAAGGATGTACCTAGGCCGAGCACTACGACACGCGCCGAGGCCGAGCACGCTTCGGCCGAACACTCTCAAGATGAGCACTCTCGCATGCTCCAACACACTTCGCGCATCAAATCGCATGATCCGACTCCGAGGCCGAGCATGCTTCGACCGAACACGCTCAAGCCGAGCACTCTCGCAGATCACATACATCGCATATAAAATCGCATGATCCGACTCCGAGGCCGAGCACGCTTCGGCCGAACACGCTCAAGCCAAGCACTCTCGCGGATCAAATACATCGCGTATCAAATCGCGAGACCCAACATTCCAGGGCCGACCACGCTTAGGCTGAAAACGCTCAAGCCGAACACTCTCACGAATTAAATACACCGCGTATCAAATCGCGTGATCCGACTCCGAGGCCGAGCACACTTCGGCCGAACTCTCTCAAGCCGAGCACTCTCGCGGATCAAATACACTTCGCGTATCAAATCGCATGATCCGACTCTGAGGCCGAGCACGCTTCGGCCGAACACTCTCAAGGCGAGCACTCTCGCGTGCTCCAACACACTTCGCGCATCAAATTGTGACCCAACTCCGAGGCCGAGCACGCTTCGGCCGAACACTCTCAACACGAGCACTCTCGCGTGCTCCAACACACTTCGCGCATCAAATCGCGTGACCCAACATTCCGGGGCCGACCACACTTATGTCGAACACGCTCAAGCCGAGCACTCTCGCGGATTAAATACACCGCGTATCAAATCGCGTGATTCGACTCCGAGGCCGAGCACGCTTCGGCCGAACACTCTCAAGC